GGATCCTCTAGGGCCCAAGAGTTAAATCCGGATCGGTCTGTTCGTACAGAGCCGCAGATCCTCGGATAGTGCTGCCTCTGCAATGCACTTATTGAGTCAAAATATCAAAGTTACACTGAATTCACTGGCATTTATGTACAGGAGGACCCAGAGATGTAAAGTAATTGATATCTTGACTTGTTTCTGTTGAATGGTTCACTCATGAGTCTTGACTGATATATGCCACTTGTTGCATGGAAAGAAAAAATGGACTGTACTAAACAACCAAGCCATAGACGTCAGAGATTCTCAATCCGTTTGCAGGCCTTTTGCTCCAGTCTGCAGAAGCTCGAAGGAGGAGATACATTTGTGCAGTAACCAGGCATTAGCTGTGTCTGACAAAAAAACGCTGGAGTGGGAGGGCCGTCCATATGTCCATCCAGGACACCTCAATCGACACGCCCTGGGTTTGTATGTTCAATAATCTTAGTGTTTTCTTCCATTCAAACTCCAAGAGGAAAAAACGGTGTGCTTAATTACCTGACATGTTTTAGCTTAAGCTTCCGTCTGAGGTGAGGCGTGTTGGTGTGATGTCTTTTATCAGCTGTTGTTACCAGAAGCAGTCTCTCTGACAGGTTGGGCAGATCTATCAGACTGGCTGTGTCCCCGTGTCTAGAGAAGTGTGAGCCAGAGTAAAGACCCCTTGGTCTCTGTTGATGTTCATGCATCCCTCTTCTTGATCTCAATAACCTCTATCAGTCTGTCTGACGGATCTGTGTGACCTGTCAGACTGACTGTATCTGGAAATAACTGCTGAGTCTTCATCACACGTCACCTCTGACGAAGGCGAAGGCTTTCCGCTGAAACATGCTAGTTTCCGTCAATAGAAGCAGCGTGAGCGGCAGAGAAGTCTTTAGGAGCTAGTGCGCAGACGAAGCGCTCCTCGTACGCGTCACGTAACTGTATTTAAATAGGGAACAGGTGGAAGAGTTTGGTAGCTTCTAACGGGAGCTTATTTGGTACTATACAGAATGTGGAAGAGGCTGCGTTTGTGCTCCCTTTGCATGACAGAACGTACGGACAAAGACCAGACAGGTACACATCAACTAGTCTAAGGTAAGAACATATGTCAGTATGTAAAAACGGTGGCCTATTCCTTTAAAGTCTGAATGAAAGAAAACTCTATTCAAAAAGAAGACATATTGAATTTTCTAAAAATAATCCACTCATCGATTCAGACAATGAAACGTTTCTTCATATTGTATTTGGTTTTTTGACCTAATGTATTATCTCTAAAATTAGTCCGTAGCACTTCTGCCTCAAATTGTGTTCATTACAACTGCATGTTTACATCTTCGAACAACAAAGCAGCTCTACTTAGCCCTACTATACTCTATACTATGCCCTACTCTACTCCTATTGGAAGTGTTTACACTGGCTTTGTTAAACTGCTACCGTTTACTTTTTTAGTACCTGTTTGGGCCTGGTTCTATACAGCTGGTATTAAAGCGTTATAACTGCCAGTGATTGGCCAAAGTGCTGCTGGAAATACTGGTTTGTTGTGGGCAGATTGCTGGGATAAAATACCAGATTAAAAAGCGTAATGACCAGGTGGAGTAGAACCGAGCAGAGTAGGGCCAACTGTATTATCTTCAACTGTAATCAAATATTTGAAATTCCAAAACATGAAAATTAAACATTTGAAAATATTTTTTTAAGAGACACAATTGACACACACACTGCATATTAAATGTCTTCTTACTGTCATCTGGCAAATCTGGAAAAGTAAATTGAATACACAAACACGCACAAGCACAAATTCCTTGTCTAAAACTGTTCTTCGGGGACATTCACCCTTCCTGTCACTTTTAAACCAGCTGGATCCGCCTACAATTCCCATGAGCCTTCGCAGCGGCCGCTCATTCCTTCCCCCATTTCCCAGCGCTGCCTGCTTGACGGGAGCAGCACCACCTCATCTCTGTTTGATTTAGCGCTCCTTCGCCTGTTGATCTCGGGGAATCGTGTTTTCGCTCCATATTGCGGTGATCATGGCCCCGTATTGCTTACCCACGTATGCATTATGTAGGCTGATGCTCCGCTGCAGTTTCCACAGCCACATTTAGAGGAATGTTTCACTCAAGTGGTCAAAAGGCAAAGCAATAGGAGCGCGCGACGGCAGAGCGCGTGAGTAAATTGGATGTTTTGATGGAAAGATGAACGCAGAGGAGCAGAGTGTTACACGTTTATTTATGAGGAATTGGTCGTGCGCAGTGGAATATGGACAGCGCTAAACAACCAAAACTGGACGATTCGTCTTTGCTCCAAAACCCGCTCAAAACCGCTATTGTCGCAGAGCAATGGTCAAACTACTGAATAAGTGAGACCAGCGCTTTGAGACCTTCAGAGATATCCAGTGATTAAAGTAGCAACATGTAAGATTTTCATGTCAAGTCCTCATTAAAGGGCCCTAATATCTCAAAAGGCATTAATAAACCATACTCTTTTCAAAAACAGTAGTTCAGAGATATTTGGATTTCAAAATTAGTTTCACAGCCCCTAAATCTTGTTATTGTTTAATTTTTTATATCCCGCCCTCCACTGTTTCACCAATCAGAAAGTCTGTGATCCGAGTTGCCAGAACTCACCGCGTCGAGCTGATCTGACTGGTAAAGTACCATGTGGCCGCAGAACTAAAAAAGGTCTCGTTATGATTCTCAATTCATTAATGACGAAAACAAGGAATGTTGGTTATAGATTTGTTGTTGACCAAACTCTTGTCTATTCAGATGTTATGGTCCCAGCTGGATTCGTCTGCATATCTGGCAACCTGAGTCAGAGAGAGTGCAGTACCACTTTTGGCCAGATTTTTACATATTGCTCCTTTAAATATGTGATTAAAACATGTCTCATAGATATAAAGAGCACATATTCTGCAAATCGCTGTTGTATTTTCATTGTTCTTCATTTAAAATCCAAACCCGGAATGTTTTTAGCCCCATCCACACTAACATCAGGAAGTTTTGGCACAAAGCAACTAGGGCTGAAATGAACTATTATTTAGTATAATTCTGCTGTCTTGTTGTGGCCATATCATATCATATTCATGCAAAAGCCAGATCTTGTCAGACCTCTGAAACTAAGCAGGACATGGCTTGGTTTGTACTGTGATGGGAAACCTCTGGGAACACCAGGTGCCACAGTGTGTTCTTAGGCAAGACACTTCACGCCTTAATGACTGTTGAATTAATGACTCTACTGAATATCAGGCTCGCTCTCACTAATATAAATTCTCCCAGGACCGCATAAAGGAGTAGCTCTCTGCCTTTTTTGTCCCCAGCTCTCTGGGTGGCAAAGGTTGGAGACGCCTGTAATGTAATAAAATCCATGTCACTAGTTTTGGGCTCTAAAACAGTTTGGTTTTAATCAATTTTTTTTCCACATGCATGTATTTTCGGCCTTTGTCACATCTATTGATCAGATCAGAGACTATACCACCCTCACTCGCTCTCTCCAGTTACCCAAAATGTGAGGAAATGGGAGTCCTAAAGAAAATTGAACAGTTTCTTTGCTTCCGTCCTGCTCCCACCTCTCCTTCTACACCTTTCCTATTCCCCTTATTGTAAACGTGTTTCCTTCTTGCCGATTTGCCTCGGGACATTGTCTAAACTTGCCCATTGTGTGAATTATCTGCCATCTGACGTGTCCCGGCGACTGGCCCCTGCTCGCGATAACGCTCAGTATTCCAGCTCTGCATTAACATGGCAAAGAAAGCGCCCAAAATACACCATCAAAACGTGAATAAAAACGTGAAAAAAAAAGCGCAGTGTCCAGTTGAAATCTGTGACATTTCCTTATCGGCACAAACAGCAGCCCTCCCTGACCTTTCCCTGTTTGAATGACGTGAATATAAAGAAGAATCTACGACAGACTAAGAAATGGGTTTAGAGATGTAAGGTGCAGATACGGGGACAATGAGCCTGACAGATCGCACTCGGGGAACAAGAAGCTTCTCTGGGCTGGATCACGGCCAACGCACCGGCGATGCGCTTTACGATTTGGCAAAACAATGGGATGGACTGTGCAAGTTGACAACAAATATGGATAAGATTCAACATTGTGGTTCAGAAGTTTGTCGTTCAGGAGAGAGGTTGCTGTATGTAGTATTGGGCTCACTCCACGCTCAACTGTGCAATGCCTCAATCTTACTTCAAGCGGCAATAAAATAAATGTATGTATTTTTGTACCTCATAATTCTTGAATACAGGTCATAGATACAGTATACAGGGCAAAATCTCAGAAGGGTTAGGGTTAGGGTTTCAAAAAAATTGTATTGAACTTTGTGGACATAATTGTTGCATATGGGACATGTCGTGTTGGAGGCTTTGTGAGTGGAATAATTAAAAGGACAGGGAAGACATTATGCAAAATCTAAAATGTTATAAATGCAGACAAACTGGCCATTTTACTTATTATCCCGCCCTATATGCACTTAACTTTACACTATACATACTGTAAATAGATAGATTTATTGATATTGTAGCATTTACAAAACATAGCTGCTACTTATATTGTATACTATCTAGAGCAGAGAAATTGGTCCGAACCAAGCGGCTACTCCACCTCTGCAGCTGTGACCTTAAGTGCTGTTGCATTTTATGACTATTGTTAGCTACTCTTAGAATCACTGTATGTATTTATGTGTTTTGTTTAAATGGATGGAAGTGCTTCTGCTGCTACTGGACCCCTGAAATTCTCCTACAATAAGGTATAATAACAACATAATAATGTATCTATCCATCTATCTATCTACTGTCCAGTCTGAAATGTCCCCACAGTGGGACATATACAGGTTCTCTTTTCGTATCTATCTTAGTGTGTGTGCATCTGTGTGTGTATGTGCTTGCGCATGTGTATATAAAGCCCTTTTGCAGTTCATGAATCTGCTACTTTGCCAAATGATGTCCGTGGTGTGAGGGGTAAGTGCTGGTTAATAGTTAATTCATAGTTAAGTTCATAATTACCAGTATATACAAATCTCCCGGGTGCTCCTTTGCAGAACTGTTTGGACTTGTAGGACAGAGTGACCTCCACCACTCCGGGGATATGGCGCGGAGGGGTCTGCACCCGAATGGCATGGGGGGTGATGAGCTGTGGAGCAGAGCAGCAGATAACACCGGTTAGGGACATTTATCATGCATTATGGGTGTTGGTTTTGATCTGGAGAATTACTTTTCGTGGTTTTAGAATAGATGTGGACACTAGTGCTGGTCCGGTCCGACGCTCTTCACCATGTATTTATTTATAACAGCTCGGATAAGGCTAAATATGAGCTGGATTCAAGCAGTCAAAGTGAGATGCTAGCTATTTTGGTAAGAGCTCTAGTGTGTGCCGTGTTCTCTGTATGGTGCACACTGGGGCTGTCTTGCACAGTTTTTCCAATGTGGTTTTACTGCAAATGGCAAATAAATTCTTGAATCATGAAATCTATAATCTTTTCAGGATAACTTCATTTTAAGTTTTCTTAGCAAAGTCAATGAAAACAAAAGCTTGGCCTGATTTGTGATGAAATAAAAATGGTGGTCATGTCTTTTATGCAAGTTTGCGATATGATTTTTTTATTGTCATATCCCCCACCTCAAATGTGAAAATTTATTATTTATGAATATATTTGTATAATCTAATCCAGGCATGTCCAAACTCAGGCCCGAGGGACAATTGCGGCCCTCAGTATCATTTTATGCGGCCCTCTGCCTTGCTAACCCAAAGTAGTCTTTGAGATCATAAATACAAGTTCATTGTGTCATCCATCCAACATCAGCACCGCCAATATAGACCTTGTTCTAAAGCCCAGTACGTGTGGAATTCAGTCGTTCACTTATGAGCTGGTAAACATTTGTCATTCAGCCAACTTCAGCTCTGTTATAGATCATTTAAAAGCCCAGAACAGCCCGATGGTATTGAGAACTCCTGTTGTATTCGACGAAGGTGCGCAGAAGAAGAAGATTATTAGACTCATTTGGAAGCAATAGAAGGGTCCCAAGTGGTTGTTGTGCAGTGTGACAGTGTGGAGAGCTACCATGTGATCGTTGTACAGTGTGACAGTTGTTTAGATGGCTCTCACCTCGCTCCACACCAACATGGTCCCAAACACCACCTGGAGCCCGTCAAAGAAATTGTCCCCGATGAGGATGACTGTGGCGCCCCCTGTTGTCCAGCCCTCGCTCGGACTGATGGCTTTGATGCACGGGGTGGCTGCTTCACACACACGCGCACACACACACACACACACAGAGAGAGAGAGAGACACACACAGATAAACAACTTTTATTAATTGACCTTTTCTGAACCGGGAATGCTAACCTGCTAGCTCTATAGTAAAGGCTACAGTAAATATGGCTCCTACTCACTTACATTGACTTCTCCGGCTGTTTGTGTCACACTCAACATTTCGGGCTTGAAAATATTGAATATCCGTTCTGTATGATTGTGGGTTTTTTATTCTGATATCATATACCAATCAGGTATTTGATTCTGTCCCCGAACTTGATTTGGCTCTTTGGTTTCTGTGCCGTTGCAACCCACAAATTTGTCTCCAGATTCTACATTAGCCTGTTTGAGTTAGCTCCATGGATCTATTATAATAACTGGATAGGGTATTACTAGCTTGTAGCTGAAGAACCCACGTGCTCGGGGGATTCTCGCGGTACTGCAGACTAAACAAGACTAAATTCACATGGGCTACCCAGATATTTTCCCCATAGAACTCAATGTAAACTAAAACAGCTCGACCTCAGCTGACAGAGAACCTACAGCTTTCATAAAGGTCGGATTTTGTGGGGATTTTAGTGTCCCTTGTCATCCTGAACTTTTTTTCTTCTTAAATCCTTCGGTTTTCTTTAAATCCACACTTTAGTGCCACAAACTCTGCTCGTTTGGCTCTCGCTCTAACTCCCGCTCTAACTCCCGCTCTAGCTCCGCCCTGATCAGAAGCTCTGATTGGTCAGAGCGTGGCCGAGCCCCTCTGTGCACGTGCATGAGAGCCACACGCATATTTGGCGCAACGCATCCTGGGAGATCATCCACTGGACAGAACCGGGAGGACCAGACGATGCACAAATATAGGCGAGATCTGCTAATATATCAGCGACCGTGCCGGCACATGCGCCACTGAGCACAAACAATTCATTTGAATACGGCGCCATCTTGGATCGCCGGGGCTTGGTTAGCTCTATTTCTCAATTGGTTAAAAATGAGCATTCCACTTCCAGTTTCTTGGATAATCATCAGTATACTAAGAATGCAATAACACACTTATCAACTCTTTATCAACCCTATAGCACATAACTCATTCTACTCAAATAGATTTTTTTTTTGGGGGTTACTTTTATTTCTATTTGTATTGTTTTACTTCACACATCATAATTTTTTACTTTTACATTTATGTTACTTTTTTTATACATGTATAGATGACGAACCTGCATATTTGAATGTGTTACTTTTATCTCTCTGCAAACTTCTGCTTTATAACTTAAGTGGATTAGATTTTTTTCTTCCACCTCTACTCCTATGTATGAACAGTGGAAGTCCTTTGTCCTATATTTCACTTGAGGATTTTGCCCACGCTCCATAACCAGCATGCGTGAGTTCTTTGTTTTGGGGCGCGTCCTTGCTCCGTCTAACTCCCCGACATCTGGAGACCTTCTCGTCCCAGGCCTCATCAGCTCTGCCTTTGTACGGCATCCTGCGGGGGCCAAAACACACGCACTGTACTCCGCAGATAAAAGCCACACTTCCCGTTTGTTTGTTTGTCTGTTGGACTTTATAATGAGGGACAGATGGAGGCTTTATGTCCCTTTTGGCCCTGACAGGACACCGTAGACTCGCGAGCACATGCCGGAATATGTGCAGGGCTTGCTCAATTGGGGCGTTGGGTTTCCGAGTGGGAAGGTGTGAAGAGATTTCATTAAAACTTAGTCACGGTAAAAGAGTGTCTTTGGTACTGAACCAGGACTAAACCAGGAATGAACCAGGACAGAACCAGGATTGAACCAAGACTGAATCAAGACTGAACCAGGACTAAACCAGGACAGAACCAAAACTAAACCAAGACAGAACAGGATTGAACCAGGACTGAACCGAGACTGAACCAGGACTAAATCAAGACTAAACCAGGATTAATCAAAGACTGAACCAAAACTAAACCAAAACTAAACCACTACTGAACCAAGGCTGAACCAGGACTGAACAGAGACCGAACCAGGACTGAACCAAGACTGAACCCGGATTAAACCAAGCCTGAACCAAAACTAAACCAAGACTGAACCAGGACCCCGAACTCCACTTTCATTGAATTTTAAGTTTGCAGAAGCAGAGAAGATAATGTGTAAATGGGTGGGATTAAATCCATTATCTCCTTTCCCTTTCCGGCAAAACAGTTTTTTAAAATTTGGTAACAGGTATGTTTTCTGTTAATAACAACTGTGTTAATCCTGTGTTTTCCTGAAATTAATAAATAAATACATAAAAATGTGGTATCATTCTGAGTCTACAACAGATGTACCTTTGTTGTTTTTTGTGCAAATAATTTCAGACTTTTTTGATTTGGATCCTTGCACTGATGGACTGTGTGCAATATTGGAACTTCCTTTTGCAGAAATTGCGCCAGACGAGCCGATTGTCCTGATGATGAGACCCTTGTGTGTTTGTGTCCAACAGCTGTGAGCCTAAGACACATTTCACTTCGGGGACAACAAAGTGGAACCTTGAACCTAGAGCAGGTCAGTGTTGTACCTTCGGAGGGGTCGAGGCGGCGGGCGCGGCGGCCATGTTTGGAGTTGTTGTGGACGAACATGTTGTCGGAGACTGAGAGGACGTGTCCATCCACGTTCACTGTGGTCGACACGACAACCTGCAACACAACACACACACACACGGGATGACACTACCACCTGAATCACACAACACACATGCAGGAACAAAACACCACAACCAATAGTATTTCTGCTTTTGATATATAGTCTTTGGCACTCCTGCTAGCACTACTGTACCCATACAAATAATATAGACAGCACAATTTACACATGTATACAGACCACTATATAGTTCTTGCACCAGAATATACATTTATACTTGCTTATATATGCTAAGTTGAAACTTACTTTTTTATTATGCTAAAGCCAGAGATTGTATTCGCATTTCTTGCTTCTTTATTAGGCTAAAGTTAAACATTTTAGATTTGCTTCCTTATTACGCAAAAGCTAAATATGTTTTACTTGCTTCCTTATTATTCTAAAGTTAAAGATTGTATTTTATTTTAGTATATAGATTTTATATATATACAATATGTTCTTTTATCTTCTGTGTGCTCCTCATGTGCGTTACACATCGCTGCTTTGGAAACACTGGTATGACTGCCTCTTGAAATTTTAGAGGTTTTTATTGTCTGTTGTTTATTTTATTTTATTTGTTTTCTTGTCTTGTGATTTGGACCTCGAGTCCGCAAATAAAGTTATCTACTATCTTATCATTCCTTCTGCTCTATAACTGGTAATGCAACACTGAAATTCCCCACTGTGGGAGAAATAAAGGATATCTCAATCTTGCCATGTAGTATCCAATTATTGTGCCCGTATAACTTGTTTTACCGTGTGACAAATTATGAAACGCTAATCCTCTGAATTAGCCTCAAAAGACGGTGACTGGAGCAGATTTAAATGCCAGGCCGGGGATGAATGTCAAGGTGAGAGACTTCACTTGGGACCGTCACATATTTTGAGTTTGAATAATATAAATTGTCAGCTTTTTAGAATGTTACAATGTATTTTTTTATTTTTGCTACTACTGGACGCCTGAATTTCTCCTACTGGGATCAATAAAGTATCGATCTATCTAAATGGATTGCTAAAAAATGTTGCATATGGAAGCTCTACTTGGTTGGACATCTACTGCAAAAATCCTCAAAAACATATCTTAGCACTATAATCCAGTGCAGACACACACCCAGCGCACAATAGTTCGCATTTTTGAATATTTTTGCGCCTTACAGTGCATATTTTTTGCACAATAATGCGCTTGATCAAATTATGCCTTTATTTTCTTATATAAGCTGCTATAAGGCTTTTGTGTGCGCCTAAGAATGCAAAAAATACAGTAATGGTTCTAAATCAAAAGCTCTTCACGGCTGCTGTACTGGACACCTGCAGTACAGTAGATTTGAAGCAGAAATATTCCGACTGCACATACCTGGAAGCGTCTCATGTCTCGGGGGTTGCCTGCGTTCTTCAGACAGTTCTGGTTACACTTCAGGAAGAACTTGAGGAAAAACCTGGAACAGAACAAACACATGAGACGTCAGTGTGTGGAGTCCTCAGCCTTAAATCTGGGGCTGGGGGAGAACAGACACGACGCTTCTAAACAGAGATGCACAATTCCGGGCAAATATATTGTTGTTAGATTCCTAACCAATATGTGCCATCAAAACTTATATGTAAAAACAAGTGTAATTGTGTTCAGAGTCCAAATGACAAACACAGAAGTACATTTGGTGCATAAAAAACCTTAGATATACAGTATATGACGCAATTACAAATACACAATTTCAAATTTTCCAGTCAAACCTTTTTCTTTATATTTTACAGTGGAATATTCCTTGTAGAAATGTTAAATTTTCATCAACTCTTGAATGAAGTATTTTCTAGTTGACTGACTGCATTCTTACTGTCAGACCTGAGCCGTTTTGACAAAAAATAGCAAAATTATATGTCTGCCCGATAACAAGTCATCAAAGTAAACTCAAATTGTCAACCTTTTCCCAAAATTAAGTGATGTTTTGTTGCGTCTTTAGTCTCTTTTTCAGCCAAACAATACCATTAAACAAACAGCAACAGGCTAAAGTGAATTGCCCAACACTAAAACAGGACTGAAAATAGTTCGTACAGTGCAAAAAAGCATGTAACAGTTTTTATTTCAGTGAATACTCAAAGAAAACCTTTTAATATTCATGTTTCACACACACAACCATGCACCCATCCTCACAGACACCAGGGGGCGCTGTGCTGGCCTTCTTAAAGAGCTCTTACACACATTCTATTATTATCTGGATGTGTAGGCTCCAGTTCAGCTGTCCAATATGATCTGTAATAATAATGACAATAACCGTTTTTAGACAAATTCGTTTTTTTATTGGTCCATAATAGTCTGATAGCTCCACCCCCTCCGTCCGGTGATGCGCTTCCTGTTTAATAGCCACATTAGCTCAAAAATAATAAACGTGCTAATATGGGCTGACATTAACCAGCAGATAACCCCCGCCTCCGCCTCCGCCTCCACCTCCGCCTCCGCCTGCGCCCGCGCTCACGAGAGAATCGAGGGACATTATTCAGCGCGACACACATCAGTCCAACTACGGTCAGGGACATCTCATCGCCGCGGCAACAGGGGTGGGTACAAAGGAATGCCAAGAGAAATTATATTGGTTTGAGCTGTGCTGAATAAAGTCAGCTGGGTGCAACAAAAATACTTAAGGAACCTAGTAGAAATAAATTTAGAGTGAATTTAGAGGCATGGTAAACCACTTTAGACCTGTAACATAAGCAGGCTAACCCATTCTAACTTGTGTCCATGCTAATACTGACATTGAACTTGACATCTTTGGCATCTTGTCTGTTGTTTAGTCATTTTTTAGTAAATAGCGTAGATGTTTGAAGCAGTGGAACAGGTCTCTCGCTGTTGTGGAGGGTGAAGAGAGGGGCAGAACTGTTGGTTGTGCGTTGGATCTACTGGCAGGGGAGGGAGCCAGTCAGACCTGCCAGGCCCAAGTCAGACTGACACCTCTTCTACTAGAACCCAAAGACGGGTGGTGGACTCAGGCAGAAAGGGAAAGGAGAAGAGGGAGGTCCTTTGAGCCAAGATGGATTGTGGAACTCCTGAGGCATCTGCCCAGTACCTGAATGCCCGAGCTGATGCAGAGGCAAAAACCTGGACTGGGAGTAGTAAAAAAAATGAACAAATACATTCAAAAGGTTTTGCCAACACCATTCACAGTGCTGGTGGCGGGCTGCTGACCTTGACTGGAAAGCAAAGAGCGAGCTGAGTTGAAAACCAAGCTCTTGATTTACCGGTCGATCTACGTTTCCAGCCTCATTCCAGGTCACAAATTTTGGATAATGACCGAAAAGACTAATTTACGGATGTAAGCAGTGGAAAAGAGCTTCCTCCACAGAGAGGCTGGGTGGGATATGGTGAGGAGCTTGGTCACACGGGTGGAGTTCAGAGTAGAGCCGCTGCTTCTACACGTCAAGAGGAGCCAGTTGAGGTGGCTCAGGCATCTGTTCCGGAGGCCTCCTGGACGCCTCTCTGGGGAGGTGACCCGGGCATGTCCAGGCGGGAGGAGGCCACACGGAAGACCGAGTGTTAGAGAAATTATGTCTCTGAGCCGGCTGGGAACGCCTCGAGAGTGTGCGTGGACAGGGAAGTCTGGCCGTCTGTGCTCAGATTGCTGCCCCTGCAACACATCAATGGATTTAGCGGAAGGAAATGTATGGATGGAAGGAATACTGATCCGATTTATGCCAAATGTGACATTGGGTTCATTGTGCGGTCAATAAATATTTATCTTTTCTTATAATGATAATAATAATAATAATGCATCAAACTTTTATATAGCGCTTTTTTGGACACTCAAAGACGCTTTACAAAACACATAGAAATAAACATTGAAAAACAAAAATTAAGGAAAGGCAAGCTGAAACAGGTGGGTTTTGAGAAGTGATATAAAGTTCTGTAGTGAGTCTGAGTTTCTGATTGGTTGAGGGAGTGAGTTCGAGAGTGGGCTGCAGCGAAGGCTCAGTCCCCCAAGGTTCGGTGTTTAGTCCTGATGGGGTGAAGGAATGGAGTCTGTGGGTCTGAGGCGGCGGGTGGGACAGTGGTGATGGAGGAGGTCAGTGAGGTAAGAGGGGGCCAGGCTATGGAGGGACTTGTAGGTGAGAAGGAGGAGGACCTTGTATTGGATGCGGTATGGGACAGAGAGCCAGTGGAGTTGTTTGAGGACGGGGGTGATGTGGTCTCTGGAGCGGGTGTGGGTGAGAAGGCGGGCTTATCTTATCTTAAAAGTATCGAGTAAGTATTAGAAAAACACTGACCAAACCAGCATATGACAAAGACTGTTTGAACTGGGTCTGAAGAATAATGCATCGGTTTTATTTAGCGCGTTTTTATAACACTCAAAGTCACTTCCCATGTCATTAATCATTCACTCCGTACACGATGGTGATGGACCAATACTGCCACAGCTGCCCTGGGGCACACTGACAGAAGCGAGGAAACCAATGTGTGCCATCAGCCCCTCCGACCACCACCAACCATTCACGCACACACCATACTCATTCTAGGAAATGTGGGTAAGTGTCTTGCCAAAGGGCACAACCACAGCCGCCCCACTGAGTATCAACCTCCATCCAGAATGCATGTGGGACAAAAGAACCTGATTAAAAACTCCTCAACTATCCACACTGCAGCTCCTTTCTCAGCGCTGAGTGCATGAGCAGATGTTTGAATCAACCACACCCAAAGCATCATGGGAAATCTTCACACACACACACTCACACACTCTCTGTTTATGTCTCTGTGGGGACAATACATTGACTTCCATTCATTTCCTGGTACTGATCCAAACGTTTTGACCTATTCCCATCGACGTCCTCATACTGTACATGTACGCTTCCTTGGCCATTCATATTTACACATTTTAAATAATTGTTCTGTATATTAACGGATACACATGACACAATGAATAAGAGAGGACGAGAATGTGTAATTGCTCCCATCCAATGATAAAAAAAACTGAACGCAGTTATACTAAATAATATTTTACTTGAGAAATTAACATACCTAATTTTGTAGCAATACTTTAGTTTTAAAAGGCTGAAAACAGATCCGTCCGTGATATCACAGTCCAATAATGTGGTTTCTTTGTCTACTCATCCAACTAGTATTGTCCTGGCTCTTTCTAACCCCATCCTCCCCGTCTGCTCCTGGTGTAGTGTAAATATGTGATAAGACTTGGTTTTAAATGTGGTCAGACCAGAGGAGCGTGGAGAGCATAAGCGCAGAACAAGTTTATCAAGAAAACTCAAAGTGCTAAACAAAACAGATATAAACTAAATAAATAATAATTAATATTGTATGCACAGCTAGAGAGAACTATTTTAACCTGGATTCGAACATTGTCAGAGTTGAAGCCTGTCTCACATGTTCAGGAAGACTGTTTGAGATATTAGCAGCATGAATCTGAAGTACTGCGTCCCCATGTTTAGTGTCAGTCCCAGCAGGAGGCCAGTCCCTGTGCTCCCCAGAGTCCCTGCAGGAGGCCAGTCCCTTTGCTCCTCAGAGTCCCAGCAGGAGGCCAGTCCCTTTGCTCTTCAGAGTCCCAGCAGGAGGCCAGTCCCTGTGCTCCCCAGAGTCCCAGCAGGAGGCCAGTCCCTGTGCTCCCCAGAGTCCCAGCAGGAGGCCAGTCCGAGTTGATTCTTATGGCCCTGACATGTCACAGATGTGCTTTGGTGCGAGGCCGTGGAGAGACTTAAAGTCTAGTCTCTGAGCCACAGGAGCCAGTGCAGAGACCTGAGGACTGGACCTGCACAGGTACTTTCAAATAAAAAGAATAAATAAATTAAAATAGATCACATTGACATAACTGATCACAAAGCTTTTGATTATAACACATTTTTAATGGTATTTATTTATATTAATCCCTATGAGTGTGTATGCATGTTTAAAAACCCAAATAATACAAAAATTCTAAGTTTAAAATCTGAGTTTTCAGACAGAAAGTGAAAGAGAGAGGACCACCTTCACACACTCTCAGCCCAAAGAGTCTAATATTGACTCAGTCTTTCAAACAAGTACACTAAAGATAACACAATATCAAATAATAGGAAGATATCATGTATGATACTCATTCTGTTGGATAAACATGTGGTATTAATGAAACCCCCAAAAAGGTAAAGCCAAATGAACAACATTTCCAGGACAATTATGAGGTTCAAAAGACTCAGACCAGATAATTATGGAAACATGTCTAAATGAAACTTCAATATGTACAGATCTAGATCCATACACAGGATCAGACGACTGTAGCGCAGGCAGCAGGGTGTTCTGGGTAATGTAGTACTGTCAGCGCTCTTGTCGCCTCATTAGAACAATAGACACTGCTTCATAGTGACTCTGCTCGGTGATAATTAAAGCTCTCGTCACAGCTCGTTAAGACACATGGCAAAGGAGAGGACGCAAGGAATCATGGGAGGAGGCGGGAAGGAAGGAAGGATCCAG